GATCTTCTTAGCTTTTCCAGCATAAATCATCCACTGTTTGAGACGATCCACGTAGGAGTTGTTTCCAAGACGACAAAGAAACTTGGCAGCTTATCCTGTCCTCAAGACAGCAAGCATTCCCTTATATCTTGTCTTCAAGATAGTAGGTGTTCCATCCTAAGTGGACTTCAAGAAAACCACTGCAAGAACCTTCAGCCATTGGATAGTTGCTGTCATCTTCTCTAGAAGATCGCATTCAAATATTCACAACAATTCTTAAGGCTGATCGGTGTTCTTGGGCGGTGAAAATTAGGTGGACCATCAAATGTTTGAGTGAAGCTAACCTTGCAACTAACGGTCATCAAATGTTTGAGTGAAGCTAACCTTGCAACTAACTTTTCCTTCTCTTTCCTTCTCTTTCTCTCTCCTCAGATATTTTCGTTTTTATAAAATGATTTTCTCTCTCGTCAAATGTTTTGGTCAGCTGTTTTTCAAGTTCCATGTACTCGAGATCATCAACCACGTCATCTGCATCATCAATGACATCTTGTAGCTGCCATAGCCATTCGTTAAGAGCCGGATTTTTGTCTGTGATCTGCTCTTGGCTGGAAGCAAAGTGGACGACAGCTTGGATCTTGGGGTACTTCTCTCTCAGCCTTCGCAGCTCCTCCTTCGTGCGTTTATTCCATCTGACTTGATCTTCCACGTAACGGAAGCAAAAGCTGATGATCTTCTCCATAATTGGATCAAGAGACATATCTGCCATGGCAACGACGATGGCTGTAGGGCAGAACAACTGAACAGTAAGAAAGAAAAAAAGGAGAGTGGAAGAGATGAAGATTAGATAGTCTACTGTCTCACGACTCCTGTTTAAGATAAGGAAATCCTTTCATCCTTCACCTCAACCGTTCCTTCAAAATCCGACAGCTTAGTGGAGACGTCAACAGCACGGAAATGGTTAAGTCCAGCAAACGCACACTCGAAAATGAAGGAGTGAGGAACGTGCAAAACAAAAATTCTCCAAACTGTTAATTGAATTTGAACAGCTTGATTCACAAATTAGAGAATAATGAAAATGCAAAAAATTGAAAATGGCCAAATTGACTAAACTAATTTGAAATAAATTTGATTTAGTTGGAATCAATTTAGTCTAAATTAGTCTCAAATGATTGAATTAGATCAACTGAATTCATTTTAATGAAATTCAATTTAATTAAATCTGAACTAATTCAATTTGATTTGATCAAGTTTAGTTTAAGTTAATTTAATGCAATTGACAGTTTGAGTCGACTTGGCTTGATTTAACTTTCTCTATCTCGATTCCAAAAATGAGATGATGAAGATTATAAAATTGATTTGGAAAAGGAGGCCAATATAGCAAAGAATTGTCTACTGCTAACAACATTATGGGCCATGATAATGAGTCCTTGTGCTTCATTAGTAATTTTATTCTTAACATATTCAAATCCAATAAGAGGAATGATAGAGAAGTTGCTTTTACATATTCTAAACAATAACCTTATGATGCTGTTTAATAATCTAAATTAATATTTTGGATGAGTTTGATTCCCTTAAGTTTAAATTTTCAGCACAATTAAGTTATTTTTTATTTTGCAAGCACAAGTATCGTAACCGTCTTTTTTATACTATCATGCTTAATTTTACTGGTGAACAGAGGTGTCGAAAATTGACTCAACATGAAAACCCGACATAAATCCAATCTAAATTTTTCGAGTTTGCGTCAACCCTTTTTAAGAACGGTGTTCGAATAAAATTTGGTCTCATATTAGCAAAAGCTTCAGTTAATTTGCTAAACCAAAGAAATAAATAATATTTCAAGTTTCTTACTCAAAAGAAGGCATATAAACTCATATGTGTAAATTATTTAGGAATGGGCAATTCATCAATGCTCAGATTATATGCCAAGCTTTTAATCTCAATATGCGTTTGTAATTTATTTGTTTCATCGATGAATATTAATAACTTAGTAAAAGACATGTATATTGAGATGAACAAGAATTTGACGAGCTTGGGCTCATTGGATTCGTCTCGTCGAGCCGCTCGATTCGACTATAAACATGTCACGTTTGGAAACCTTTTGGTAATCCAAATTATTGTATGAACCTTCCAAATATGCTTCGGGTCCTCAATTTGGATCTATT